ATAGATAGATAGATAGATAGATAGATAGATAGATAGATAGATAGATAGATAGATAGATGGATATTCTCTCTAAATTAACACTGCAGTTAAACTTACTATGGATGGACAGACAGATAGAACGATAGATAGATAGATAGATAGATAGACATACAGCCGGATAGATAGATAGATAGATAGATAGATAGATAGATAGATAAAATGCATCGCTGCTACTATCTATCTATCTATCTATCTATCTATAAAGAAGGAGAAAGAATCAGCTGTTTTCTTGACCCCTCCTCTCTCCCCTCATCCCTCACTAATGTTACTATCTTTGACAAGGCTGGCACACGCTTACACTGCACGCCTCACCACATGCACATATGGAGAAAGCAACACACGCACACACACATACTCACGCAGACACACATGCGCACCAAAGGCTGGCCTGAGGACAGCACGCGTTTGAGAGACAACCTCCTGACACACACACACATACACGAGAGTGCATTCTGTGGACTCAATATACCAACACAGAGGCGAGCCGATCTGCTGGAAACCACAGAGAATTGAAAGACTGGAGCACACCTCCCCCTCCTCTTCCCCCCTCTCTCACTCTCTCTTTCACACTCTCTCTCTTCTCTCTCTGTGTCCTCCTCTCTCTGAGCAGTACAGCAAGGCATTGCGCAGGATTTAACTCCCCTCCTTCATCTCCCTCTTCTTTATTTTAATCGTTTTTTTCCTTCCTCCAATCCATCTCTCCTTCTGTGGCAGCCGTTGCTCTTGGCAGCGGAAGGATATTTTCATTTCCATAATGGAGCGTTACGAGAGCTGCTATTCGCTCATTTCTCCCACAACCGTGTGTGTGTGCGTGTGTGTGTGTGTGTGTGTGTGTGTGTGAGAGAGAGAGAGTGTGTGTGTGAGCTTGGGGGGGGGGACGCCAAGAAGGACTGCATCTAAAGACGGTGAGTGAAACACTGTTAACCTATAACACATATACACATGCACACATTACAGTTTGCCTCGATTATGATTACCATGTCTGTGCATGATGTTTGCCGAGGGATGTTTTTTATGAGACAGACTCATACGCCAGTTGTTTTGGGTATAGAGCATGTGATGTCCAGTTTTTTTTTATATAGACACAAAGGAAATGTAAAGATGTGTATGTGAGCGCAGGTGTTGTGCTGGAATGCTGCTTTTGAGTGTATATAAGCATATAGGAGTGAGATTGCATCTACAATATGCAATCCTATAAACACTTGCATATATACACACATTTACGGTAGGACTAAAAACATTTGTGTAATAGGTTTGTATGTTTTTGTGCATACTCTGTATGTGTTGCTTGAGTGAGCATGTGTGTTTTTTTGCAAGCGTGTGTCTTTGTTTGTGATTCTGCTCTTAATAATTAATCCCGTGGCCTCTGCGCCTTTGTTTCTAACGTTTCTTCACTTTGATGTTGACTTCGATGGCCTTCTTTTGTGCATGTGTGCATGAGAAAAGGGACCAGAAGGACTGGTTCAGGGGTGAATATCAAAAGTGCATTTCTATTAGCTTATGTGTTGCAAGATACAGTAACAACATTCATGTTGTCACACACATGCATAGTTGACCTTGTGCATTCACAGGAAGTTAGTACGGCGTGGGGTGAGAATGTGTGAAATATGTGCTGAACTGGACGTGGAGAAATGCTGCTAAAGTGAGAGACTATTACATCACGTGTGTGTGTGCGGGCTGCATGCTTGGGAGTCAAATGACACATCGCTCAACTAATTATCCTCTCCACACACATACACTTGCATATTATCACACTGTCAAACTTGCATGTTCTAGGAAACGTAATGCGCGGAAAATGTTCACGTGTTGAGCAACTCCAAAAGGTGTTTGCAGAGACTCACTTGCACACACACATTCACACATGCAATATAACCTCTAAATATCTGCACATTTTTCCACTGTGCCGTTTCGGATGACAGCCTGGTGAATTGGTGTTGCGTTGCGCAAATACGCACACACAGACACACACGCTGTGATGGATGTGGCAGGTGACAAGGCCGAAGTGTCACAGAAAGGGAGTCTAAGACAGCAGCGGCCATTTTACAGCAAACCGGCCTGGCGTAAACAGAAGCAACTTGTAACCTTGTGCTCAATGATCTGAGACACACACATTCACAGCATTGCGTTACACAACTGGTATTACATAATGGTACGTCGTTATAATAAAAATATTCCCGTCTCTGTCATGTGCTGTAAGTGTTTCAGTGTCGTATTACTGTACTGCAATTAACTAAATCGTGTCTGCAGTGTCAGTTCTACTACGGTATTGTACCCTGGAGAGCTGTATTACAGTAAGCACCGCTGTATTGCAGGTGGCTTTGTACCAGGAGGAAAGTTCTGTTTCTCAGATGTTGCTCTTTCATAGCTCAGGGGACTTACAGGATATTTCAGTTATGTTTGATTGAAGTATCAAATTTGTCTTGGATATTTCTCTTGAAATTCTATAGGAGAAATACAAATGAGACAATTGTTGACATACTACATACCCCTTTGACCGAAAACAGGTACTTGAAGTACACCCTGATATTTTAATCTAATATTTCCATAATTTAACAGCATATTTGCATATTTATTATTCTCTGGTATTGTTTACATGACAAAAAGTAAAACAAATAAAATATGTAATCTTTTTTAATATGTTTTAATACTTTTTTATGATATAATTAATTATTAGTTTTTCATCAGCACATACATTTTTGGACTTTGCCGACAGAATTTGATGAGAAATATTTGAGCTTGGCTTTTCAGAGTTTGGTATCTTAAACAAATCGGAGAACAGCTGAAGACATTGTTGAGAAATCTTCTGAATCTTTAGAAGAAACAGTTGTGAGAATACAGGAGTCTTTTTCGCAGTGGAAAAATATGAGAATCAGGAGATGTAAGCATACGTCTCCATTTAATCAATATAAATAATTTATATTAAATATGAACAGTATTATTAAATAATAAAGTATTTAAATAAAATAATAATCATTTTAAATATTCAAGAGCTCACACTTGTGATTTTTCATTCTTGTAGAATGTAACTGCATTTTCCATCACTTTACTGGAACATAGTCTAATCAATGGTACAATAGAATTTTGAACAGAAATGAGGAACAAAGTTTGTGTTGAAATTTAATTGCTAATTTGTTCTTTCCTAAGATGTTTTCTATTGAGCTAGACTAGAATACATACAGAAGGGATCAAACTTGACAGAAAGTGAGCTGATTTGAAAAAATAAGCCATGACATGACAGTGACACTGTTGTTACCAATATGTCAAGATTTATTTGAGTTTCACCGCAGCTACTAAAAACACACACCATGCAGCTCACACACTCAGTAAGCCATCTATGCTGAGACAGGCAGAAAACAAGCGCTCACCTTCAAAAGTCATATTAACTACAGAAAAAAACTGACTATCCTTCAAACTCTCTCTGCAGTCTCGTCACTGGCCCCATATCGCTGCCTGTGGAGGCTGGCATCAGGGCCAGCTGATGTCACAGCAGATCTGAGGCAGCTGTAGTCATAGAAGCGCAGAAATGCAGCTCAGCACTGCACCTACAGTGGGTCGCTGGAGGAGAGGAAATCCGGACAGCCAAGGTGAGCCCAACACACACACACACACACTTTCACTCTTCTGAAGGGGCTGGGCTTAAGGACCAATTACTTTCATACAGTTTTACATGCTTTTTGTGACTATCAATGATCTAAATCAAGTATTTACATGTCACCAGCGTGCAGACTGATGCGTTTCAAGAAATTATCAGTTTCACTAATATGTTTGTGGAAAGAAAGGTGGTGTGTGTTGACGTATGTGTCCCTATGGGTTTGTATAGAGTGGTATAGAGTGCAGCAAACATCACCAGCTGCCACAGCAACAGATGGATTAGGATGGCTTTAGATAATGTGTGTCTTATTAAAGATCTGCATGAAGCAACGCAGAGGCAACACAAACACACACACACACACACACACACAGCTCTGCTGCATTGTCACATATACTTACAGCTGTATAGTGAAAATATTTATGCTGGTTTAGTGTCAGACTTAAAATCTGTATTGTAAGTCAATACTTAGTCCGTACAGCTTTAGTTTTTCTGGGGAACACAAAGCTTTTTGAAAAAATATCCTAGCCATTCCTTTCAGTTTAATGAACATGAATGAAAACTGGTGTTGTCAAGCTCCAAAATGACAAAACACCATAAAATGATCTTAAAAAGACTTGCACACTCTTCAAGGACTTCTGAAGCCATAAGCTAGCTTTGTGTGAGGAAAAGCCTATTTGCTGATTATTCACTGATAATCTTGACATCCACACTAGATCTGTGAAGGAATCTTTCTTTTGAGTCTGATAGTTTCAATTAATCCAGTTGATCCAGTTCATAAAATGCATCTGAATGATTCAGTGAGTCAAATAACTATAGATTGTAGAATATGTATGTAAGTTGTACGAATTTCTTTTATGGTGCATTTTGTAACTTAAAAGCTGCAGTCCCCATTCATTTTCAATGAAGCCATCAGCACTCTCTTCAAATTTCCAAATTTCTTTAGTAATTTGTTTTATTTATTCTGGGAACTGGAGTCATCCTGTTAAAATGAGCCAATCCTAAAAGCTAAGAAAAGAGGGACACTTCGTAAAATTGTAGTGAAGGCACAGAATAGATGTTCATCCTATTTTAAACTAGGTCCAGTCGCTGGGAGATTTCCGTCCTCGCCACTGACATACAGTCTTCTTTGTGGTTTTCTACAGGATTGTTCTGAACACATAGGGCTCATGACAGTGAAAGAACATTGTTTCAATAACAGCAGTCATATGCCTATCCTGATGTGCTGACACACATTTCTCCTCAGCCAAACAAGAAGGGATGAGAGAAAAAAGGGAACTTGTGCTGGAAAGATGGGATATACTGAAGATTGAAGGTTGATTGGCCAAAACAGCAATTCTAGAATCATTCACAACTACATAGTTTAGAAGGATGGATTAATTGTTGAGATTACACAGAATTGTGTGAGTGTGAATAAGAGAGAGTGTGTGTGTGTTTGTGATGATTGTATGTGTCTCTGATTACAGAGGGATCAGGGTGTTGAGGCTGGTCAGGATCAGATATCTGAGTGCTGTAACTGCATCTGTCTGCACTCAAACTGCCAAACACTCTCTCACACACACACGCACACACACACATTCAGCAACGAGACAACTGGGAACTCAACATTTAAAACCGTCATACCCATTGATAGCATGTGATTGTCTCTCACACACACAGAGAAACATTGCTCCCTACCCTTTTCCACAGTTGCATAAAAGAGAGAGGTGACGAACAGTTGGCAAATGTTTGTTTTGTCATGGCAGAGCAGAGGACATTCTCTGTTTAACTCTGAGGCACATTATATTCCCATCGTACATGTTCGTTTAGAATGGAAAAGCAACTGCCATAGGAGAACTTTTTAGGTTCCAAAAATAATTTTTGACTCTCCAGTGAATCTCCATTGGTTTTGCTTCACAAATGGTGAGCCAGCAAAGTATCAGAATTGTTTAAGGTATAAAAGTAAACAAAAATATCCTTAAAATCACACAGTAAAAATTCTACTCCCTATTTATTTCACTAGCCTATGCACCATTTTCCCTGCTACCTTTAATCCTATCAGAACAGAACTCTATGAATCCATCCAAAATGCTTGTCCAGCGCAGGGTCGGAACAGACCTGTAACCAAATTTTAGGTGCCACCCACCAACTGAGAACCACTGCAGCCTTAGATAGATTAGGCTGCCTCAAAATGTAGGCAGTGTGTGAATTTTACTTCATAGAAACCTGTTTACTGATACATTAAAGAACCCAGAAACCAATACTAATCTCAAGAATTTGTTACATCAGCCAACAAGGAACCATTTAGCCAACTCAAGGATCTCACTCAGGAAACAACAAAGAAATAGCTGAATTGTTGTCATTTACTCACCAATGTACGTTCAGTGTAGTTCTTAAATCTCATTTGCACTCAGTTCTCATTTGCACTCACATTCAATTGAAATATTGAATGTTTTGTGCATTTCTTTATTGATTTTCAGTAAATAGAAAGTTAAATTTTGGTCTTTTCTTTGCAAAACACACGTGTGGTTTTGGAAGACTTTGAATACAGCACACAAGTAATAGTCTTATTTTTTTGGTGCATTTTTTATTTTTTTCCATTTTTGGAGCTTGACAGCTCCAGCCTCCAATATGATAAAAAGCATTTTGGACTGTCTGCAGTATATCTTCTTATGTGTACTAGGGAGGAAAGAAAGTCATACAGTTTTAAAGACACATGAAGGCGAGTAAATAATTACACGATTTTCATTTTTGGCAAAATAACCCATTAAGAGCTCTCTATACACAAATCAAAATAAGTGAGTTTAAAAAAACAGCCCGAAGGTGCTGCAACGGATAGCAGCTACTTACAGCAACTGCAACAAAAATACTGCTGTCTTGTCTAGAGGTCCGTTTGTATCACATAAGCTCCGGTTTAAAATAGTGTAGTAGGAGCAGCAGCTACAGGTTCAGTTCTGTCGAGCACTGGTTCATTAAATACGGTACATGTGATTCACAGTGGCACTAAATCAACACCTGTCACATCTTTCACATCAATCAAAGCAGCTTTCAGGAGTTAATGGTTTATGTCAGTTCTTTCCGACGATATACACTTTTTTTTTTCTTCTTTTCCACAGGTCTGCTAGGTGTGCTGAGTGTGTGTGCTACGTTACTGCAGTTATGCGCTGGCTGTCCTTCAGAGTGTGTGTGTAACTCACTGGAAGCTAACTGCAGTGGGCGGAGTCTAGTATTTGTGCCCGCTCTCACTTCTCTCCCGGAGGGCACACATACCCTCCTTCTGGCCAATAACCGCCTCTCCTCCCTTCCCGTCTCTGCCTTCGCCAACCTAAGCACCCTGGAGACACTCGACCTGTCCAATAACTATTTGGATAACCTGCCTTCCAGACTGTTCCGTGAGCTGAGTAACCTGAGTGATTTGAGTTTGCGTAACAACAGCCTGACGGTTTTGGATCGCGAGTTATTTCGCGGCCTGACCCTGCTGCGGAGACTGGATCTGTCTCTGAACGGCTTGGCCGCTGTGCCGCTGGGCCTGCTGGATGAGCTGCAAGGGCTGACTTGGCTCTCCTTGGCTGGGAACAGACTTCATGCTCTTGAGAGAGCCACATTTGAGCCTCTCGTCAACCTTCAGCACCTGGAGCTGGGCATGAACCCCTGGGAGTGTGACTGCAACCTGAGAGACTTCAAACACTGGATGGAGTGGCTAATATATCGAGGTGAGGACTTCATGCTGTTTTGGTCCTCTGCAGGTGTACAAACACGTCCTTTAAGCAATAAGCCACAAGAGGCTGTGTGTTACTGGGATTTTACCTTAAAGGATAGTTCACCCAAAAATGGAAGTTCTGTCATTAATTACTCACCCTCATGTCGTTCCAAACCCGTAAGACCTTCGTTCATCTTCCGAACACAAATTACGATATTTTTGATGAAATCCAAGAGCTTTCTGACCCTGCATAGACAGCAACACAACTGACACGTTCAAGGCCCAGAAAGGTAGTAAGATAAATATCGTCAAAATAGTCCATGTGACATCAATGGATCAAGCACAATATTATGAAGCTATGAGAATACTTTTCGTGCACAAAGAAAACAAAAATAACGACTTATTCAACAATTTCTTCTCTTCCGTGTCAGTCAACCATGAACTATTTAAAAATGTCCTTACAACCTTTCTGGGCCTTGAACATGTCAGTTGCGTTGCTGTCTATGCAAGGTCAAAAAGCTCTCGGATTTTATCAAAAAATATCTTAATTTGGGTTTCCGAAGATGACTGAAGGTCTTACGGGTTTAGAACAACATGTGAGTAATTACAGAATTTTAATTTTTGGGTGAACTATCCCTTTAAGTGCAATGCGTTCTTTGGCACAGCCCAAAGTGGACTGCCTAAAACACCCCTAAAATAACTTAATATATGTCACAAGACATATTGTGCCTATAAAGTACAGTGCACAATAAATAATTAAAACTATTAATATTTAAAATTTGAATAAACTACTCTTCCATCAAGTAATTTAGTTCATTGGCATTTTACAAGGGCTTTGAACGTGGCTCAACCAATGAGAATTTAGAGAATTATCAGTTTTAAAAAAGCTTTATTAAGCCTTTTAACAGATGGCACTGTAAGCTAATGGTAAGTGCATGTACACCAAACATATTGTAGGGTATGTACCCACTCTCTCCCTAATAATTCCCTGTCTATCTTTTGTCTACCACTGGCAATGAAATGTGGCAAAACCCCAAAAATCATTGTGAAGCAGAGCTTAGAAGTCTTTGCTTCTTATTATCTATACCTCTCGCTTTCTATTTTTCTATCTGTCTCAATCCTTCTACTCTGAGTCAGAGAAACTAATTTCATTCTATTTCAGAGCAGCTTTGAGAGGGAGGGGGATTTGAAACAGACATGAGAGGCTGAGTCACAAAGCTTTTAGCGTGTGTGAGAAAGAGACTCCAGTCATGGTGGGCTCCGATTCTCTTGCTCTGTTCCAAAACCTAGTGAGCTGCCTACGGAGGCAGCATTTTGAGGCATCATAGATTCTCTCTTGACATGAAGGTAGGTATCTTACTTATGCTGCCTTCTGTTTTGACCAAATTCTAAGGCATGTTTATTTTCATGGAGATACCACAATGCAACAAATAAGAAAATCCAAGATAGATACATTAAAATCAAGTGTGAGTCGTCTATCCTGTGCAAAACATAAAAAATAAAATAAAATAACTGTGTGGCATGCGGAGTTGCTGTCTATGTAGAGCATTCCAAATCAGTCTCATGAGGTTCCATGACAGTTAACATGCTGCCTTTGAAGGCTGCTGCCTATGTAGGCAGTGGGCAGCATGGCTGCTCACTAGGTTTGGGAACAGAGCTTCTGTATGCATGTCAGGCTTATTAATTATACACCAGCTACCACTCTTCCTCTCATACAAACACACGCACGCAAATTGAAGAGGGCTGCTGACCCTACTAGCTGTGCGGGGCTATTTTGGAGGGCTTGAAGCAGCCATTTAAATTTATTAGAGGTGACTATTGTTTACCTTAGAGAGCTAAAATTTTAATTTATCTTTCTCTATTGCTTTGTCATAGGCGGTTATGTCGATGCCGTTGAGTGTACACTTCCGAAGGACTTAAGGGGTCGTGACATCAGGGGTGTTCCTGTGGAGATGTTCAACTACTGTCTGCAATTGGAAGATGAGAATGGGGGCGGGGCTGGGAGCACAAAGAGTGGATCTCCACCTTGTTTTCGAGGGACAGCCACTCCGTCATCTGATGGTGCAGTGGTGCGTACACCGGCGGAGCTACCAGACTGTGTGAAGCAGCGTTATCGGCCGGTCAGTGTTCGCAGGGCGATCGGTACAGTAGTGATCGCTGGTGTGGTCTGTGGAATCGTGTGTATTATGATGGTGGCTGCCGCAACGTATGGCTGCATTTATGCCTCTCTAATGGCAAAATACCAACGAGAGCTAAAGAAGAGGCAGCCGTTGATGGGTGACGCAGAGGCAGAAGCCGACCCGGAGGAGAAACATATCTCATCAGTTGCATAGGGGAACGGGGGAGAGGGGTCAGAGTTCAGAGGTCAGCCACAAATCTAAAGAACCCTTTACTGGTTGAGCTGCTCATTTGATGATCATTTAGCTGACCAGCGGAGGATTCATCATCCCTGTTTCCTGTCTCTCTGTCCTTCCTGAGACCCTCTCTGACTCTCAGACTTACACTTTACTCAATCTCTAAACTTTGGCCTATGACCTTTGACCTATTTGCCCCAGGACAAGAGGGACCACTCAGCACTTTAGAACTCCCCCACCCTCCTCCAGTGTTGAGAGGATCTCAGCAGAGGAGGTGTGGTTGCAACTGTTCACAGTTCTGAACCCTGATGTTTCTAGAGGATTGTGTGCTGTCATTAGCATTAGCCTCTGTAGCAGCCTAATCATCAACCCAAACCTCTAAATCATAACTCTAATCCCAACCCCAATCCTAGACCTTTAACTCTAATCCCAACCTCTCAAAACTAATCCAAGCCCTCAACTCTAATCCTATCCCTTCAATACTAACCCCAACCCTTACCATAACCATCACCTCTAACACAGTCTACACCGGGTCGCACATGCAAGTGGCACAACACATCAAAAGCCAATGACACTCATTATAATCAATGCTGTCTACAATAGATACATTCTGATGCATTGCACCGTAAACTGATGCCCCAATTTCTGACATACTACATGGGCTTGTCCAACTTCCGACAAAATGACAAATTGATTTGTAATGTTGACTTTAAAGTGTCCCATGTAGACAGCCTCACTCTCGTGTCAACCGATGTGCTCGGTGTAGAAATGGTGTAATCATAAACTTCCAACTCCTCTACCAAGCCTAACCTTAAATATCCAGCTCTACTCCCAAACTTTAACCCTAAATGTACAACACAAATCCCGATCTTACCACAAACCTTCTCCATCCCTAATCTAAACCCCCAACCCTAACGAGCCGACAGTAACCCATACCCTAACCATAAACCTCCATCATTAATCCTAACCCTCAACTCTAACCCTAAGCCTCTGAACCTACAAACCTGTACCTCCAACATGAATCCCTACCCCTTACCATGAGCCTCCATCATGAATCCTAACCCCCAACTCTACCCCTAAACCTTCAACACAATTCTGAACCACCAAATCCTAACCCTGTAACACTGTTACCATAAACATCCTTGACTAATCATAACCTAAAATTCTAACCCTAACCCTCCAACACTTATCTTAACCCCCAACCGTGAACCTTCTACATGAATCCCTACCCTTGCCAAAAGCCTCTGTCACTAATCTGAACCCACAACCATAAACCGCCAATTGTAATCTCTGCCCTTAGCATGAATCTCCATCACTAATATGAACCCCATAACTCTAAACCTCCATCACCATTCCAAACATCCAACACTTATCCTAAACCTTCAGCTCTACTCCCAACCCAAACATTAAACCCCCAATACTAACTCTCACCTCCAACCTTAATTGTAACCCTTAACCCTACCCCAGTGTGAACTTAACATCATAACCCCCACATATCATATTTGAAATATCCCCACCTTATTTATCAGCTATAATATATTCTATACAATGTGACGTGACCCCAGTTTTATGTTTTTAAGTGTGAGGTTTGTCCTTTGTATTGTGTGATAATTTGTGTTGATAACATTTTTTTGTTCGTTTACTGTTTACTATTTCTCCATGTTCATCTCTAGAGGTCAGACGTGCTTTTGTACGACTAGAAGAATCCAGCCCTGGTGTCTATCGTGAAGTGTCTTGAAGTATCGTGAAGTGCTAATGTAGAGCAGGCTGAGGACTCTGTGATGTTAGTGGAGGGTGGCAGATTGTGGCTATTGGAACTGTTAATTACACCTTGGTGGCTAAAGAAGCACAGTGGCCCTACAGGATAGCTGCCCTCTATAAACAAATCGAGAAAGACAATAGCTGAGGAGGAAATAAACCTTACCTTTATTAAGATAGACTTTTCTGTGCAATATAAATCAATGTCTTTGTTGATCTGTTGTTTAATTCTGGACTAGGATGTCATATCTGATTTAGTCTGATCTTTTCTCTTGGGCTGGCGATGGAAGAGAATCGATTGCGCCTGTGTGATCAATTTTCTGCTTGTGGACCAATTTGCATAATCCGCTTTTCCTTGAGGGCAGAAGTTGTTTAGACTAAATAATTCAGATAAATTTGACTTGAGCTTTCAGAAGCCCACAGATATTCTCAATATAAGCTTTTCTGCAGCAATCAACCTCAGCGACTGGATGAAAAAAGGGAAAGAAAGACTGTCAAAAACTAGCTGCACATTGGTTACATGAACCAACATACTCATTTCCTCAGTATTACTGAAAATTTAGAGTCAGAATATAATGTTGCTAATAACGTCAAGAGTAACGTCATCATTGGGTGTCTTGCACAATGCTGCCATCTATAGGAAGGATGTGCAGTAGGCACAAGGGTGTGGAGCAAATATCACACCACCTCATCAGGATTTAAGAGATGCTCTTCCGCTGTAACTATAGCAACAGTCTTTCCCACACTCTATTCATTACCAATGCAAATTACTGATAAGTTTGCTGGCAAAAAGTTGTAAATCAAAGTACAACTCATTTGTGTGCTAATACCCACACCAGCAGTTAAGCGTCCAGGACTTTGTCTATGTTCAGTGATATTTGCAGCCATAAGCTGAGTATATATAAGTACAGATATACATTTATTCAAAAGTATGTTGAATATATGTATATATATTTTAATCTGTGTCTTACAAATTATTTATGAACAATAACTTGATTGCAAAAATTGAGTATACTTTTCCCTGTGTTTCCTGTGCAAACTCCTTTTGTAGAGGAACTCTTAAAAATTCTCTGTCAGAGAATTCAGAGAAAACTCATGAATTATTAATGAGAGGAATTTCGTCTAATGGTTGCGGTCTCTCCTACCATTACTGTTCATTTAGCTCTTATTTTATACAGCATGTGTCAAAGGCCTGTAATCTGCACGGGGCGACAAAACACATACCCTGTATCCTCTGTTATGAAAAAAAAAGGACAAAAGCACTTTTGCCACTGGTGGACTAATACTTTCCTGTCAAATTGCACTTATTGCAAATATTCTCAAAAGTGAGCACATGCTTGTTTATTGACGATGTCAGCAATGCGCTTAATCTGAATATAAGCCGACAGAGCAGTCGTGATGTCAGTAATGTCAGTGAATATGAAGGGCGGTTTATGAATGAGCAATGACTCAGCTGGGGTGTGTTTACTCTGTCCTGGCCTTACATATAAGAGCAGAGACACCACACAAACTTCACTACGCACCCTCGCTAAATAAAGGCTTTGTAAATCCCAGTTGATGGATGAAAGTAAAGGATTTGCCCATTTGACTGAGCTGAAAGTATCTGAAAATATCTTATAGCTTATTGATGTGACCCTTTCTTCACTTGACCTTTTTTCTAAGACTGATATGAGATCCTTCTTTATATTTTTGCTTGATAAAAATCAGTTTGAAATATGATTTGTGAGCTGTGATACAATTCTGTGTTAAAAATGAATAAAGAATGTATTTCCGTAATTGTTGAAGTGTAAGATTCAGCAAGCACTCACACACAGTTTGCTCAAAGTAAAATAATAAAATATGCGTATGCTTTAGTTTTGACACAAAACGGAGAAAGATCAGGATTCAAAATCTGGATCAAAAATGGATAAACCAATGGGTCAAGCATTGGCTGATTAGCATAGTCTAGTTAGCCCCTGCTGGTAGATAATACAACACCATTATGGAGGTATAATGCATTTTTGACATGGGCATTTTTTAACACTTAAAAGCATGAAATAGTCCAACTGCAGTGGCTTCCTGATTTTTTCCCCCCTGATCTTTTCCTTATATAGTGCATTAATACAAGTAATCAGTTTTGAGTGTCTTTATAGCCCCTTTCACACAGTAATACCAGTAAATTGCCGTAAAATTACTGGAACAACTTTACCGGTAAATAAAAAAATGCACTGTTCACACAGACAATGGCGTTCAGTGTTTTTACCGGTAAAGCACCATTCACACATTGGTTTCAAATGACCAGTTCTGTGACATCATTAACCAGAAATGACCCAAACGTCTGTGCTTCCCGGTGTTGTGTTTGTAAACATGGAATGGTATACGCGGTCAGTGTTTTTGTTGATGTTTTCATTTTTGTGTCAAATGTTCACATTCATGCTGCACTTTTGGTCCAGAGACATCGAATTAGACGACTTCAAACCGAACTACACCGCACGGAGTAAAAGCCTCATCTGCGTCAGAATATTCTGCGTTTACACACAGCATCATTCCGGCAATTTACTGGTAATGTTACAACTTCTCATACCGGTAAATTGCCAGAACGAATTTACTGGTATTTTTGAAAAGGTCTGTTCACACATGGTCTCTAAATGGTAATTTAACGGTAAATTACCAGTAAAGCCTGTATGTGTGAAAGGGGCTTATGAGTACAGAAGAAATAGCACAAGCAAAGGTCATGTTGGGAAAGGAGATGTTCATGAAGACATGAACTCCATAAATGGTTGCACATCCATACATGGGCACATGTGCGAACACACTCTTAAAATGGACAAAGATCATAGCATCTCATGGGCCGTTTTTCATCAGCACAGACTAATATAGAAGAAAAAAAAAATTTAAAGATAAGAATAACCAGGGAAAATCGTACCTCCAGCAACTGCTGTCTTTTTGTTCACAGAGACTGTAACAGACGTGACAGCAATCACAAACCTGCCATCCACTGCAGGGAGAGAAAAAAAAATACTGAGCATAATATTCTAAACGGTGTAAAATTGTCTGTATGATGTGGATTGCAGGGTGCAGGCTACCTTGTGTGCTGTCCTCTATAGAGACATAGTACAAAAATCGTCCAGATGGATTCTCTGCCGCACGACGATACCAAACAGGGAAATGGTCCAGAGTAAAAATATTCTCCTTATCTGGTGGAGATAAGAATTTTCTGAGGGAAGAAAGAGATTCATATCAGAGTATGTGTACGTAAGATGATATATACAGTATTGTACATACTTATATAATATATATATAGTATAGTATTTAGATGGAACTACTTGGTCAATGCTTTATTTACAGTACATTGATTGTATATTAATATAGTTTAATATATATGTTCTGTTTTACTGCCTGTTCCTCTTTATATTTCCAGTGTTGGGTGTATTTTAGATTGCATACTGATGAAAGTTAAATGAAGTGCTGTGGGAGTGGGTGGCCTTAAGAAAACCTATGACAATGCAGATGCTGTCTATGCGGTTGAGTCGTGACGCAGACAGCAGGAGCTCTTGATTTAAGGTACTCACTTCGCCACACGTTTCTCTGCGCCGACATATCTGATCATTCTCATGAGGCCAGAGCGTGTGCCCAGGAACGCCGTCTCCACACCCCCATCAATACTGCACACGACGGAGGCCAGTAGAAGAATGAGAAAGGTCACGGCCGAGCATGTATTTGACTAATGAAACTTGTCTGTGATGCTGTGTGCGTGGGTGGGAAGTTTTACCCGGAGGCATTGAGCATCAGTGCGGTCCAGTAGGCTTCCATAGGAGCTGTGACCACTGCGTCAAACAGAGTCTGCTGCAGAAGTCTTTCATCACCTGAAGAACAGACAGAACAGAACTCAACTGCGGATATCATCAATCATCATTCAGATCAAACTGTTTAATTACAGAACAAAATGGTTATGATGTATACAGAGAATAAAAGGTACAAAGATATGAGATGATTTACATGTGCAACTAATTGTTTAACTCTGTTCCACTGTTTGAACAGAGTATTTATATTGTGTTTGTTGCTTACACAGTTCATGCAAAAATTTAATTTCTATCCTCATTTACTCACCCTTAAGTTATTCCAAACCTGTATGAATTTCTTATGTTGAGCACAAATAAACATTTGCTGGTAGCCATTGACTTCCACAGTATGGTAAATAAAATAAAATACTATAAAAGTCAATGTCTACTGTCAACTACTGGCTACCAAATATCTTCTTTTGTGTTCAACAGAAGAAAGAAAATCATTCATGTTTGGAACAACTTGAGGGTGAATCAGCAATTGTCACTCTGTATGCAATAATCTCCATGGATACAGCCTGCCTTATCAATGAAAAGATATTAGATGTGACTAGTGTTAGTGTAAACAGAGGACTGAAGACATTATGAAGGCACCTTGTATCGAGGAGCCAATCTCATGAGCTCTTTCAAAGGGACATCCGTGCCAACCACACCAAGGAGGATCCCATGAGACAACTACAGACAAGAAAGAGCTCATTTAGAAATATGAACAATAAGAAATCTCGAAATTTTAATTTGACCACCACAATCTCAAAAACTTGAAATATATTTTTGAGTTTATTTTAAAAGAAACTATTCAAATTGAACTGTTTTTAAAGTTTTACATGTGTAAATGATAAAAAAAACCGGAAAATATTTAAATATTAATAACACTTGTCAAGGACATTTGTGACCCTGGACCACAAAACCAGTCATAGCACGGGTATATTTGTTGCAATAGCCAAGGATACGTTGCATGGGTCAAAATGATCGATGTTTCTTTTCTTTTATGATTTATTCTTTTAAAAATCATTAGGATATTAAGTAAAGATCGTGCCATGAAGATATTTTGTAAATGTCCTATTCTAAATATATCAAACCTTAATTTTTGATTAATAATATGCATTGGACTTCATTTGGACAACTTTAAAGGCGATTTTCTCAACAACAAAAAATGTTGCACCCTCAAAAAGATTTTCAAATAGTTGTATCTCGGCCAAATATTGTACTGTCCTAACAAACCATACAGTACATCAACGGAAAACATATTTATTCAGCTTTCAGATGGTATAAAAATCTTAGTTTGACACTTATGACTGGTTTTGTGGTTCAAGATCACATATCAGCTATTGATTAGTTCTGGCTGGTTATATAAGCGTGTTGCCGCGCGAGTCAGTCGCGAGAAAGCTGTTACTGAGGAAACGCCGCGTTAGCGTGTTGTTATTTACAAGCCTTTACATCACACTTTTTAGGTACAAAAGTCAGCTTATACTTTAATATTGTAGCGGTATATATATGTCAAACATGTTAAGAGTGTTGTATATTATATGTTTAATATTTTCGTTGGATTATATCATATGAGAGTTTACGTTTTATAAGGGATGAGTTTAAAACGGATGTGACGAGCTTCCAGTAGTGTACACTGTACATGATCCAAGATCCCAATATCACGAACTCCCAATGTAGTTTAACTGGAAGAACGCCACATTAACATGTAAAAACTTAAGCTGTGAGCATTTTAAGTCATCCCGGTGATTCGCTTCGCTAAAACTGAGTCGTTCAGTTCCCTTTCTGCAATTTACAGCGGTACGCCAGGAAGTTGTGTTTTTCAGTGTTATGAGAGATTTTTTTTTAATCATTCAGTTAGCCGTTTAAGTCATTTTATCATGACAACTATAATGTCCTTATGTAATATATAATTTTAATTATGTATTTCATTTTTACACGTTACTAATTCTTCTGCCCTCCTTGTTGAATGAGACTGAATTACATGATACAACTGTATGAAAGAGATTATGTGTGTGTGTGGAGCCACACTTTTCTCTAATGGTATATTAGGCAGGTTGGGAGAGCTGAAGATTTTAAGTTTGTTTTTTGGCAACTCGCCGTTTCTTCTTTCTTGCTGAACACAGGCATGGCCACAGAGGTCATCAACAGCAAACTCTCAGCCTGTGTGTTAAAAAGCTGAAAGACGAGAGAGAGAGAGAGAGGAAGAGAGAGACGACATAGACTGAATTAATGGTAAATCCCAGCCAGGCCTGTGAAGTGGACAGCAAGCTGAACAAGTCCATAAAACACATCCATTAAGAGCAGGTGCTTCTCTGGTAGGTGGAATCAATTTCTTATTGTTCTACCAAATGGCAAAATACAGTAACTACACCAACACTGAAACTGAGAAAATGGCTTCAGAGTTTCTTATTGAATTAATAGCAATTTTCTGAGTGTGTGGAGCCAAACAGTGGAGTCAAACCCATCTGTCACAAGACAGATCATAGTCTAAGAGACCTGATTTTCAAGTAGTGTAGTTACTGTCTCTTGCCTTTTGTAGGGCAGTGTAGTCATCTTCAAAATTTACACCCACAGAATTCCAAAGATCTCCAGATTTCCACAGAATTCAAATCTTCAAAAAAAAGTCAAAATCTTACGAATTCAAATTTGCCCTCTCAGCTCCATGTAACACATTTAAATCCCATAATCAATGAAAATATGTGTAGCACTTTTGTGAAAATAATTTAGTCTAAAACCTGCATATCACATTAAATGTAAGACTTGTTAATCACCTAGAATACACTGTCTTTAGCAAAAAATAAAGAAATAAATTAATTAAAGGGGTCATATGATGCGATTTCAAATTTTCCTTTCTCTTTGGAGTGTTACAAGCTCTTGGTGCATAAAGAAGATCTGTAAAATTGCAAAGACTAAAGTCTCAAATCCAAAGAGATATTCTTTATAAAAGTTAAGAGTCAACCATGCCTACCTAAAACGGCTCATTCTAACACGCCCCCACACGTCTACCTCACTATGTGGGAAGATTTGCATAACGCCGCCCAAATGTTCACGCAAAGAAAGAAGGCGTAACTTTTATCCTCGCTGTAGTACTGTTGTTGCCGCCACCGCCATGTCGTGAAGGCACTGTGTGATTCGTTGTGAAAGCGAAAAAAATGCGTAAAAAGACAGTATAAGTCATTATAATCCATAATTATGTCCCCACTGGATGCAACGAATGCCTCGTTTATAATGGGGTTTCATGTTTTTGAATCATCGTTCCGGCCTGACAGGGTATCATCACAGTATGGTGAGGAGCGTAACATTTCCGTCATGCTTAAGGTATTCGGCCAATCACAACACACTGGATAGCTGGCCAATCAGAGCACACCTCGCTTTTTCAGACCGATGATTTCAGAAAGGCGGGGCATAGAGGAGAAACAATAATGTACAGTATGTGGAAAATAATGTGTTTTTTGAACCTTAAACCGCATAAACACATTTCATTACACCAAATACACAAAATAATGTTCTTTTTAGCAGCATCATATGACCCTTTTAAAAAATGCATTCCTAAAGGATTCACTAAACAACATGTTACATCTAGACCTGTAAATGGAATTTGTGAGAATTCGTTTTGTTTTTGACTGAAAATCTACTAGACATTCGATTAAATTAAAACCTTCACAGGCATCAGAACTTCTTATTACGACTAAATTGTATCTAACAAGGAACGTTTAGGAACTAAATGACAAGAAAACGTGAACTACTGCATTAAGGCATACAGGATCATTTTTGATCTACTGCGCAGAACGAAAGAGTTTACCTCTGCTGTATTGGGTAGCTGGAATGGGATGACAGACATAATGAAGTAACAGACATAATGAGATCACTCTCAGGAAAGAAATCAAGAAGATGAGAGGTTCAAAATTAATGAAGGCAAAATGATCAATATGCAGTTTTGGGACAGTATGAAACATCACCTTTTGTGTACAGTACTAACATGTTCAAAAGGAAAGATTGAAGGAGAAAAGGTAAGCAGCTCACCACACTGTCCATGTAAGCCTCTGTCCAAATGATGTCATGATCATGGTTGATGACCATTGGCCTGCTCAACACATGAAGATATTCCATCACATTCTCCTGTACATCCGCCAGAGTAGAGATATGAGTGTAGTAACCTAATTACAAGTACACAAAAACAGCAGTAATGAGAAAATGTAATTGATTGATGTATCTGTTACCAGTAGAGGGCATAGCTGTCACAAAATGTAATTATAATTCTGTTAGAACAGATTGTGGAAAGGGAAATATCAAGATTTAGTTACATTGTCATTTCCAGGCTTGAAGAAGGCAGGGAAATTAATCAAATCTAAAAAGTCATGGAAATTTCTATTGTCAATATAATTTTGCACAGGTCTGTCAAACCGCCTTTAGTAATCAGCATTGTTATTGTTAACTAAAACTAAATTAAAAAAGAAAGGTAATTGAAATAAAGTAAAATAGAGGCTATATTAAACTTTAATAAAAATAATTAAACTTTTAATAAACTGAACTTAAAAATTTGAAATGTTGCCTTGGAAACAGAAATGAGGTACTAAAAATTTGGGAAAAGGAATTAATTAACACAATATAGAAATATAGTGACCTATACCCACCACCACCCACCCAAAAAAAAAAAATGAAAATGACAAAAGCAAATAAGAAAACTTGTAAAATCAAAACGAAAACTGAAAAAAAAAAAAATATATATATATATATATATATATTTTTTTTTTTTTTCGTTCATCCCTAAAAATGAATGGAAAATGAAACTATGGTGCTTAGAAAAGGCTGTGTAGGAAACACTGGAAATAAAGTCATGCATCATAAATACTGTACAAAGTGTGCACATTTTCTGTACAGATAATAGACCTCACTAGCTCAGGTAGTCTCCCACAATGCTCAGGTTTAATTAAGGTAGATCTCACCTTTATTGTTGCAAGCAATCCATTTGACATTGTCAGCAAATGTTAACTCTCGTCCAATCAGATATGTGAACACACGCACCTGTTTGAGAGCGTATTGTGTTATCATTGTGTTATATGCACACAGGTAAAGCGAGTATCCATAGTGTGTGTTTGTGTGCGTTTGGTACCTTGCGTTCTGGCCAGTTGAACTCTTCAAACACCTGCTGGAAATCTTCCATGGCTCCATCAGTGATCAACATGATTGCCTGGTTACATAAACTCCCCCTGCCTTCTGCTGCTGCCTACACACACACACACACAAACTTTTGATATATCAACATTTCCATATGGATATACATTCCTTCACTCAAACACTAACACACCTCGTTGAGAATCTTGAAGGACTCTTTTATGGCTTTCTTCACCTTTCCTTCACCTTTCACTTGCAACTCCTCCACCAAAAGTTTGAAGTGCTAGAAATAAATAGGATGGCGAAAATATTAAAATCTCATATGGCAGCTGAATTCCCTACTCTGTGCAAGTGAAGAAAATGTTACCTCACGGTTATCCAGGTCGGCCTGTACTAGTGTGCCTTTAAAACAGGGCTCTACATACCGGACGTAATCACTGTACTAGAAAGACAGAAAATATTAGGTGTTATTTAAGATAATAACCCAGATTTACATAGAGGAACTTGCCACTTGATCTGATCATGTCTGGTTAGGACACAGTGTAGAGGATTTCTGTTCTTACCGCAATGACGTTGACAAAGTCATTTTCGCCAAGTGTGTCTAGAATGGTGTTGATGGTGTGTTTAGCAATGGTGAGCCTCAAACCCTTCATACTACCGCTAATGTCCACAGCAATGATAATATCTTTGGGAGACGTGGCAGCCTGGATGTACCTGAGAAGGAGAAAAAAAATGATGGAAATCTTTTTTAAGGGCTTTTTGAAATGCTTACAAGATCAGATCAGTTTTGTTAACTGCAACCATTAAAAATAGTTTAATTTTAGTAAAATAAATCTGAATTAAAAGATAAATATTAGATGAAAAACCTAAGCTGGCAATAAAGAAAATGAAAATAAATAAATGAAAAAATAAATGAAAGCTAAATAGAGGTATTTGAATAAAATAACAAAATTACCAAAACTAAAATTAAAATAAAAACTCTAAACATAAAAATAAAAGCTAATTCAAAATATGAATGAATGCTAAAATAGTATATAAATAATACTAGCTCACATGGCCATTGACAAACACGCGAGACCTTTCACAGTAATAATTCCTCAACCGGATAACAGCGTGTGAAATCTCATCTACGTAATGTTCTGAGAGAAGGAAGTAATGAGATCACAATAAGAAGGTGACAGAGAGACTAAAACAGCAGTAGCCTGGTATACACATTTTTAATGAGCTTACTTGTGTTTATTTATGTAATTTAATAATGTAACAGAACTACTCAAATTTCATAAGCGCACCACAGTGATCACTCTAGCTGTTCAGATATAGGAACGTAACACAAGACAAAAGGTTTGTACTCCGCGTTCGTTACTGCTAAAGAGATTGCGTGCATTAGCTGTAATAACATTAGTCCTGGCAGAAGGTGTTTGAGGAAACTGGGCAGATGCAATTGTCAGTCACGGAAAGGAATCCAGATTAAAATCTTTCACTGAGATCAGTCCTTCTGCTCCTTGACCCTGGACTGCAGCCAAGTCACTAATCTTGATGTCTCCTTGAGTTCTCGATAGTTAATAGAGGTGAAAGACTTCTATCACAATCAGTAATCCAACGTTTGTCGCTGTTTTGAACTTATACTACCATGACCGTCACATTTTTTAAATGCTGTGTCAGATTAATTATTATTTTTATTAATATTTAATAATTATATATATATTTTTGGATAGAAAGATTCTAAGACTCACCAGTTGCGATTCCTGGCATCGAAAGTGACAACTCCATTTTCATCAGGTGTCCACTTGATACCTTAAAGAGTGTATAAATGAATATGATTACAGTCTCCTCTCCATGAGAGAGGGAAGGATTTCTGTGTTCATATGTGTGTAAGATCTGGAAAGCCTGAGTTTATTGGTTTTGTTACTGTGTCAATAGTGTGATGACATGATGATGAATGAGAGAGGCAGAGAGAAGAGCCTGAGTCACTGTCACCATTAATCACACCAGTAATTCTATGTCAATCAGACTCGCTGTCCTGTGTCTGAATGAGCAGAAATGCATGTTCAAACACTGTCATTTTTGTCTTATATGTTAGTAAGAATAATCACTGTGCTTTCATGCCGTAATCTGCAATGGTGCATTTAAAGGAGCGAGGCTGTTGTGTGATGATTACCAGGGTAAAGTCTGAAAAATCCTGTTGAACTGCCGAAGTACTGCCAGGTTAGAGTCGGGTCTTTCACAAAGTTACTAGTAAATATGTCATTCAGCGCTTCTGACATAAACACCCCGTTCAGAATATCAGGATCTGAGAAACAGAGAAAGATTTGCTTGATCTTTTTCTAATTAGGGATGAAAATACAGTTTCATTTCTGCGTCTCACCTTTGTTATAGACATTGGTGGGCACTTGTATGACGCTTTGCTGGGTACTGACAGGCAGTTTGTTGAAGTGTTCATTCTCCTCCAGAGGAAATTCTCCCCCCAGAGCCACATAGCTCCCATCCTCATTCAATGTGTTAATCATCATGGAATTGTAGTAGTCAAACTGCAGAAGAACAAGCACATTTGAATATAGATTGAGAGATGAATAGAAGATTGAGGGGGTGGAAGAATGGATAGAGAGCTCACCTCTAATGTTGCATTATGTTCATGATAAAAATCTGCATCCTCTACTGTCTCTGCCATTCTCTATATAAAACCCACACAAAAAAGAATTCCATAACAAATAATTATTTTGATAGTATGAATTTTATCATTTTATTACTAGAGCATCATGACAAAATACTGATATCTCTGACCTTGACTGATTTCATCTTTCTGCCCAGCATGTTCTCCATTTCTTCAGCAAATTCCTTCACCATCTTTAAACCATCCACTTCCCGCATCTTGACTATGGGCTCCACATCTTTATATTTCTACACACAGACACATATACTGTACATTTAATTAAATAAAAGGACAACATGCCATAGTCTTTTTTAGTTTTATTATAATTATTATAGACTAGAGGGTTAGCCTATAATAATTACTCCTAAAAACAGACAAAGCTTGGCAGATTTAAATAATAATAATATACATTTTATTTTATAAAGCACCTTTCTACGAACTCAAGGTCACTTTACAACAGGCAATAACAAAAAAGAAAAAAAGCATGAATCTGTAACTACTGAGGAACTGTGATAAGCATCACAGCAATTCACAAACATTCCATTTGTGTAATTCTAAATGAAGGACAAAAGCTTTATATGTGCTGTTGAAGTCAGTATTCAGAAAATAACAAACAGCAAATCACTCTGATAGCCGCAAAAGCAAAGGCCGAGTTCTAGATCATTGTTCAGTATCAAAGGCCAATGACAGCAGAATCTCGATCTGTGTCCAAAGCAATGAGTCCTGCTCTTTGCCCGTAGGCCAGGAGGAAACAGGAGGTCAGACAGGGATAATCCACCTCCACACAACACTGTAAGAGTTCCAGGCTTTATTCTGAGCTTAGATTAGAGACACAAAAACAAAAGGGGGAAAAAAGAGAGAAAAGAATAGAGGGAGGAGGAGATGCAGCAGTCTTGGAAGGTTAATCCTCTTCCTGCCTCACTGTTCAGGCACATCCTGCTGTTGTGCTGCACTAATAAAGGCCCTTAAGGTAAAGCACGCCCACATATTCAGGTCAGATATAAACTGGTCGTTGTATGACTCTCTGGTAGGCAGATGGGCTGCTTGTAGGCTGTGGTTAACCGTATAAAGTAATGTTAATTAGAATGTTGTGAAATTCAAACAGATTCCAGATAACTGGACACAGCTGCATCTGACATTTACCAGCAGTTAGACACATTGCTAACGTAGTGATTTACAGATAAAGCTGCAGATTATCAGACAATATCAGAAATATCCCTGATTGCTTTGTTCGGATTGAATTGAGGGGGTAAAGTCCGATTTTCAATAGACAAACCTTCTGTAAGAGTTGAGCGCCTGAGTATCTGTTTGACAAGGCCAAAAGCTGTTTTCCAAAGGCATCGGCCCACTGTTGAACCCTGTTCAGAACACAAACAAAAAGCATTAGCATTACATCTTCCTTACATTTTATTTAAGCAATATCATAGCCCGGTAGACAACAGAATGTGAGCATGAGATTACTTTTAAGATAGATCTATAAACAAGAAGTTCATATCAAAAAACTAATATTTCAGGAAATGAAATGTTTGGGGGAGAGACATTTTCATTCTAGAGAAAATTTGGAATAAATGAAATTTTAAAATATAGTAAATTAGACTTATTTAAACCATATTTAAACTGTTATTTTAATTGTAATAATATTTGACTGTTACAATTTTACCAGATTTTGATAAAAAAAAAATGCAGCCTTGATGAGCAAAACAAACATCTTTCAAAAACAATAAATTGTATCTATATGTTAGCAGATATGGACTAAAAACACAATTAAAAATAAACAAACATATAAATTCCATAGGGTCAGTTATGCCAGGGAGATTCTTGATATCAGCAGCAGTATGCAGTTTCTTTTAAGATCAGTGGTGGCTCTCAAAGTGGAGGATTTCAGGCTGCCGTCATTAATTAATGATGAGGGAAACCGTTGTTAACGAAAACACAGGGTCACTATTTTCTGACCGCTAAAGATTTTAAGCTTATTAAGACTTCCGTAGTTTGACTTTCAGGAACTACATTAGCTCTCAGAGAGACCAAAAAGTCTGTTCAAACAGGCTGTGTGTGTGGATTTTGAGTGAATGTTGCCAGTGGAGGTTAAGCTTTGGCTTACAGTCTTTTGGCTTTATACAAGGGGTGACAGGAGGTGTGCAGGTCATGACCTGCAAGCATTAAGATGAGATTTGGAGAAATACTGTAGTTCTGCGCAAGGAATCAAAGGAGTGCTATTAGTAGTTAATCTATAAATGGCTGAGGGTAGAGTGCAAGTGTGAAATATTTATGTTGAACTTAGCAATAAAGGTCTCTCTTACATCGTGCAGATTTTGTATTCATGGGGTTGCTGGCATGTTGAGACAGCTAAGCTCATGCAGAGATGAACTGAACTCACGTTTCAGGTGATATCCTCATCTGAGCTTGTGTTTGGATGGTCCAACTTGAAAACAGCACCCAGAGCAGTGTGATGCTCCTCATCCTACCCATCAACCCCTGCCACGTGCATAAAACAGCAGCGTGTACGATCTCCAGCTCCTGAAAACAGACCTTGTGCGGTAATCCCTGTCTGGTCTTGATATCAAATTGAGCCCAAAAGACACTCCGGAAGCTTCAAAAGTATGTTTTTGGGTGGCACAGAAAACCTCCCAGAATGTTCTTCTGAAATAATGACATCTGGCTCTCTTCTCCCCATTCCTGATCATCCCCACTTGATGCTTGCATCTCATCCTTTCATCATTCTCTTCATCATGCTCTTTCTTCCTCAGAGTTGATATGAACCCTCTAAGAGTCCTGACTGAAGACTGACTGGCCAGCTGGCAACTTTTGCAGTTCCACCTGTCTTTCGGATTGTCTCACCCTCATCTTATGTTCAACGCAGCTGGGAGGAAGTGAAACAGAAGCAGATACGCTCACACACTCAGTTTGCCCTCCCCACTATGATAATCCACATGGATTACACTTCACTCCCACAGTGGGGAAGAGAGACAGAGAGCGAGAGACGTAGAAGATGTAGGGTGGGTGAGGGGCAGATGTATTGGAATAGAGAGATAAAGTGAAAGAGAAAAGGGTGAGTGAGAGGAGGGCTTCTGTCATAGTGTTTCTGGAGACAGTCTGTCCGGTCAGAAAGAAGGAAACTAAACCTTGCAACTTTCTCAAACACAGAGTTTATTTGGACACGTGTCCAAATATGAATGTCATTGCACAAGTGGAATCTGTGCACAAATGATATTTACTCATCTTAAATGTCATTTAAACAACTGATCCCAGACTGATTTTTAGACGATGTACACTACCAAAACGTTGTGGGCAGGTTTTTTGTTTATTTATTTATTAGTAAAACACGAATATTTTAAAATTATTACAATTTAAAATAACTGTTTTATATTTGAATATATTTAAAAATTTAATTTAATTTATTCCAGTGATGGCAAAGTTGATTTTCAGCAGTCAATACTCTAGTCTATACTGATTTATCAATGTTAAAACAGTTGTGCTGCTTGATAATTTTATGGAAACTTATTTGATTATTTTTTTCAGCATTCTTTGATGAATAGATTTAAATCAGTTTTTGAAAAATAAATCTTTTGAAATATTATAAATCTTTACTGTCATTTTTGAACAGTCTAATGCATCCTTGCTAAATAAAGCATTTTGTTAAAAAAATTAAGTGTATGCACAAGCCAAGCGTTCACACAAGTGTGGTTCATCACATTAATCATGAAATTACACTAATGCTTGACATCTACTGTAGAAAGTGTCCAAATCTTTTTGTCTCCATTTAATACCATATCTTTTGTTTGACCATTTTAAACTATCTTCTTTTTGTGAAATAAAATGGGCTTTTACTCATTTTCTTCAAAACTAAATCATCTATGCTTTAGTAAAATCTTATTTGACTGTAATATTAGCAGTATGATTTTAATTAATAACATCACTGAACTACATCATCCTGCTTTATTTTAAGCACTATTAAAACAGTCTACATTATTTTTCCCTAAAACACATACACGCTAGATTGTGAGTGTCAGTGTCCAGATGTCATGCTCTAGATTTTCCCACTGACCCAGTTAGTGTAAATAACAGCTTCCATCCTCCAGACAGATACACACCTGCACTGAGTGTGTGCTTGTGCTTGCAGATGTGAGCTGAGGATTTTAGTCTTGTGACAATGAAGGCTGACAGTGACTGCAGGAGAGGATGATTTTAAGCTTATTGCAGAATATTTCTTTTGAGAATGTTTTTTAAGAATTGAATTGAAATTTATATAATTATGAATATAAATGAATACTTTTTTCAACAAGGATGCTTTAAAATGATCAAAAGTGTCAATAAAGACAATTGCAATGTCACAAAAGATTTCTATAAAATATTTGAACTTTTTAATTGATCAAAGAATCAGTTTTTACAAAAATATTAAGCAGCAACTCTTTTAAAATACGCTAAAAAATAAATTTTAAATTGTAATAATACTTCACAATATTATTACATATTTATATTAAAAGCCTGCATATAGAAGAAAACCTGCTATTTTCAGCATATTTATTTATAAATACTTACACTGTGTCTTAACCAGGCATCTGGCTTGGACTCTTGTGAATTATTTTTGATTGTTTTGTTTGTGTATTAGTGTTATTAAGTCTTGGCGTAGAACTCCATTATCTAAATGTCACAAAACTAAACTCTGCTGATGCCCAACATAAATGCTGCAATAAAATCGATCTGTAATTACAAAAATACTTGACAAGAAACACACATGCATGTGATCCTCCCTTGTTTTCTGTATTCAAACTGTTGGGTTATAATGTGACACTGTGTGAGTGGAATAAAGCATGGAAATCAGCTGAACCCAGCACACCCACTCAAGCAGGAAGGGTACGCTTAGCATATTTCACACACACTGTAACTGTAGCACGTGCACTCCTGGCAACACTCCGGCTGCTGCCATGCTTATTTAGATTAAAGCTCTTATTTGAGATTATGAGTTCATCAGCACTAATGCTTATGATAGCTGCTTGCTCATAAATCCACACAATCAGTTATTAACTGGAGATACTGTACGCCTGCAGGATCTCTCATTAACAGGGTCCCCACAGCATTTGACCAATCAAATACAATGATTTTTGCAGTCGTTGGTAATTACTGGATAATGATTTTCATTTGTATGTCAGGTAACAACTCTTGGAATGAAAGATATTTAAACAATTATACTTATAAGTGTACAAATGTTGACAATAAAGCAAAACAAAACTGAGATTTAATGGAAAACTGTACAAGACAGTATATTATAAGCAAGTATCATTAGCTAGTTGATATGTATAAGCTGTCCAAAACTAGAAAGATTTACACTCTCTATTGAAACTACTATAGATTTTATTGGTTTCTAACCTAACTAGAAGTCCAATGTGCTCTTATGGTTAGACAAACCTGTCAGCATGCGGGTTACACTACCGTTAAAAAGTTTGAGGTTGGCAAGATTTTTTTTTTCAATTTTAAATCAAGTCTCTTGCATATGCATTAATTTGTAGTATTTGCATTAATTTAAACAACTACAGTAAAAACAATTTTGTCAGATAATATTACGGTTTAAAGTTATGCTGCTTAATATTTTTTGTGGAGACTTTTTTTTTCCAGGACCATTTGATGAATAGAAAGTTCAAAACTTTAAAACATTTTTAAATGTCATTATTGTTGTTTTTGATCAATTTAATGCAATCTTTGATTAATAAAAGTAGTAGTTTCTTTAAAAAAAATTAACTAAAATAAAGTAATTCCTGACCCCAAACTTTTGAAAGGTATTCTGAAACCTAACAGATCCATGTGTAGCATGTTTAATTTTGATAATTCATACATTAGTATTATCAACTAGAAAACCAGAACATACTCTGTATGGGGTGTTGGGGTATTATTTTAATAAGAAAAACAAATGGAAGAAAATTAAATTGTCAGCTTGTTTTCAGTTTGACAAGCTACTTGGGAAATACTGATGGCATTGTCTTTTTTTTCCTTAAAAAAAAAAAACTAACAAAAAAAAAACGGAACCGAAAAATATTCCATCATGTTGATATAAGAACAGAACCATAGAAAAATAGATTATATATAGTATATGTACACTTTTGTTTGCATATTTAAACAATACATTTTAATTTTAAAGTGTGACTAAAATGAATAAACAATTTCTGCTGGCTTGTAAAGGGATGAGGGCAGATTCTGCCTGTGTCAGCTGAGATATGAAGATGCTAGAAATCAAGACAAGACATGTTTGCCTTATCTTGTAGTTTATCATGTTATTTCTATTATATTTGAGGCTAGGGTCCTGTTTTTTCTATCTTTCTTTTGTGGGTCTGTTTCAATATGCAAGGATAAAAATCCCTTCACAAAAAGAAGAATGTCTTTCCACTCAGATTTTAACACACAGCACATTTCTTGCCCTGTTGTCTAAAAGATAAACGTAAAATCCATAAAATTCTTCTTTCAGAAAATTCCAAAATAAATGTGTACAAGTGGCAAATTCAAAGCTGATATGACATTCAGATCATTCAATTTACTGTATGAAGATCATACAATTAGCAATCAAACTGGTTTTCCTGTTGTGAATCTGGTGCGGAGGTGCTCAACTTCTTGGATGCTACATTCAGAATAGTAAGGTAGTCCTGAGATGGGATGCCAATATGGGCTCAGAGCATAACAGCTGCATGTACGTGTGCACATGCTTCAGAAAGGTTTTGAGCTGGAGTCTGTAGCGAGACGGGAGACATATGCTTCATAGATGGTGTCCAGGAATGAGGCATCATTCTGAATCACAGAAAGAGAGAAACAACCCATTAGAGGTACACAGTCAAACAGACTGTATACACTACCATTCAAAGCTTGTGGTCAATGTATTTTTTAAAGAAATTAATATTTTTCATCAATAATCCAATCAAGACATTTATAATGTTACAAAAGATTTTCTATTTCAAAGAAAAACTTTTGATCTTTCTATTCATCACAGAATCCTGAAAAAACAAAGAATCAGTTTCCACAACTGTTTTTAACATTGATAATAAGAGATGTTTTCTTTAGCACCAAATCAGATTTCTGAAGGCTCATGTGAGACTGAAGACTGGAGTAATAATTCTGCTTTGCCGTTACTGGAACACATTACATTTTAAAGGGGTCATATGATGTTGCTAAAAAGAACATTATTTTGTGCATTTGGTGTAATGAAATGTGTTTATGCGGTTTAAGGTAAAAAAAACATTATTTTCCACATACTGTACATTATTGTTTCTCCTTTATGCCCCGCCTTTCTGAAACGCGTCGATTTTTACAAAGCTCATCGATCTGAAAAGCGAGGTGTGCTCTGATTGGCCAGCTATCCAGTGCATTGTGATTGGCCGAATACCTCAAGCGTGTGACGGAAATGTTACGCCCCTTACCATACTGTGATACCGTGTCCCGGCCGGAGCGACGAGACAAAAACATTAAAACCCATTATAAACGAGGCATTTGTTGCATCCAGTGGGGACATAATTACGGATTATAATGATTAAAAAAGTCCTCCATAAAATGCGCTGGACACATCTGAATATTTGGGTTGAACTGTTCTGGAACAGTGTTGTAAATACAACTTAACCACTGATTTCTAGTCGTGTCCTCTTTTGGAAGGCCAAAAAAAGTAGTTTCGCTTTCACAACGAAACACAGCATCACACGCGGCGGCGGCCTAGAGTGAGTGGAGGCTGGCGGCTAGAGTGAGGAACGGCCGGCGGGCTGAGTGAGAGGAGACCGGTGAGCTTGAGAACGGCACGGCCGGCGGATTCGGGTGTTAGAACGAGCTGTTTTAGGTAGGCGTGGTTGACTCTTAACTTTTATAAAGAATATCTCTTTGGATTTGAGACTTTAG